TCTAAAAGGTTTTGCAGGCTGGGTTCAGAATTAAGGGGTTTAATTTTGCCTTCTAGTACTCTCTCTCTGTGTGGGCTGATATATATATTTCTAAGTACAACCTTAATAACTCTGGTTCCTCTTATCTTCATTTTCACATCCTACTTGGATTTTTTTAATCCTGAAATTGGAATTTTCATAAAGACTTTTTTTTTTTTTTTTTTTTTTACATAACTGGTCCCATATTAAGGCTTTTACCAAACTCTGTGTTTTGGTAAATACATTGGATGCATTAAGACACCTTACTCCTCTCATGTCTGTATGATTTAGAAGCTTGTAAAAAGCTGCTGTGTAAAGTCTTAATGCAAAAATGTGTTCCAAACCATCTGCTGTTGGTATAATTTTTTCCCTCCCTCTCACTGTATCTTAAATGCTGGTGTGCATTATTTTATTTCTAATGCAGAATAAAATAACATATAATTTAGGTCCTTCTGTCTTTCAGGCATTAACTTCCTCTGACAAGTCCTACAAAATACCTCCCAGTTTTTACTGACATTGACAGAAAAATGAAGAAAAATATTAAATATAACATGGCGAAGGATTTGGTAGCAGAAATAAAAAGAAACAAGTAGAAGTGATATTTGGAGGATGCTAAAATTTTGTCAGTTCAAGTTAGCAATGCTGGAGTCTTCTACTCCAAAAATATATTCTTTGGATTCATAGCATAAGTTAATTTTAATTTAAATACTTTTTCTAAGAAAAGGCAAATTTTCAGAAATATTTTAGCATTTTTTACATTGATAGCGTATTATTTCCACACAGAGGCATAGCACATATTTTAACTTAAAGTGAATACAGTATACAATATGTGCACCTCGTGGATATGGCTATTGCCTAAATGCTGTGCTCTCTGGTTATAATTTCGTTTTAGAAAGTGTGTGTTAAATTCTATATTATGAATATATTGAGAAATAATGTCTGTGTTCCCATTTGCATGTAATAAACCTTTACAGCTCATCTTAGAGCAGATGTATATCTATATCTATGCAGTAGTTAACAGCATAGCAGGGAAAGTGTAATGGTATTGCCAACTTTCCAATTGCTTTTTGGAAAATAAACAAGCAAAATCATGTGCATGCCCAATTTGTATTCACTTAGACTAGAAGGTAGGTATTATTTCTTTATTTTGGCTGATTAAAAACACTAAAATTCCTGCTCAATAGAATGTGTCTGAGTCCAAAATTAGTGAATATGTTGCATATTGGTACTGTAGTTAAAACAAAATGAGGATTTCCTTCATGCAAGACAATAATTAACTGCAATGTAGCCAATCATCAGCTGAATTTTTGAAACTAAATCAAGAAGGACATTAGGACCAACGGCATTAGAGTTGTAAAAGCAATATCCTTTAAAATGAATATACACTATGTCATTTTCATGTTACACTTACATCAGCAACATCACTGAGTCTGGCTTGATCCTTAGAAAACTTACTTAGCATTAACTTAGGAAAAGGAGTACTGACTGAAAAAGGTCAGTGCCCTGATTCTTAAAAAATTATGTTAAATGGTATTTTTTACTAAGAATCTTAGTTGATGATCTCAGAATGTGGTATCTCAATTGACAGTTATTCTTATTATATTGATTTAAAAGAATTTTACTGAGAAACAAAAGCAAGTTGAACTCCTGTTTCTTGGACAGAACACAATCCCTCTCACATCAGAGTAACATTAAGGATTCTGTCTTTAAAAAAGAATCCAGAGATACTACACTGGATGCCTGTGGCAAAACTTGGGCAAATTTAAGCCCTCTATCTAAAGTATTGAAATAAATTCATATTCCAGGAAAAACAAAAGTCTATTGCAAAAAATCTGTTGCATGTCATGATGTGTTTAGAAGTATTTGGTTCCTCTTTATCCTTGCCTTTCCTTCCCCAGACATCTGTGTCTGGGCTGCAGTGGTGCTTGGTACCCACCCACTTTGTGCTTTGGCCTCATCACAGCCTGGTGAATATCCCATGAGGTGCTCCCTCTTTCTGTTTTTCCCTCAGGCTTTGTCTCTCACATATATCTGAGGTATATTTGTGCTCTCCTATCTGAGCGGAAATAAGTTCCTCTTGTTGTCTTTTCCCATGCATTCATTTTCCAGTTTGAGTGTTTACTCACCTCTTGTCTTGGGTACCCAGCACCGATAAACTGAGTTCAAAGCCCTTGTTTTTTTGTTAGCTGATCTGTTTACAAACACATTCTCTCCCCTGAGGGAAAGAGTCACAGTAATTCATAACCATAGAAACTGTTTTTGGAATTAATTGGCTTGTCATTGTTTATATTTGTAATGTCTTTTTCTGTTTGACAGAACCCTACATCAGGCTTTCTTTTAGAGTATTGAAGCAAACTGTCCCTTGTCCTTGCCCTTTTGTAAAAACTGATGAAAAAGCTGCGACATCATCAAGTCAAACTAGACTGATCACCACCTAGTTAACTAGACCATGGCACTAAGTGCTATGCCCACTTGTTTCTTGACCACCATAGTTCAAAGCAGAATTATTTCTGGGAAATCTCTGTCTATGGGAAAGAGAGAGAGTGTATATGTGTAGTCATTGTAACCATTAAGCCCTCTCAGACTTAACAGTTAATCTGTCCTTAAGGAGTACAGATTCCAGAGCCAGAGATTGACAAGAGTCATGCTTCTTATCAGCAACGGGTGGTCTGTCTGAGGAATTCTGTCATAAATGAGTCAGACACACTGTTCTTTTGCTATTTGAGCAGTGATATTATCAACTTAATGATCTTTTCATGAGTTAAAATAATATTGACTCACTAATCTAGCTAATACGCAGTGCTTTTCTTTTTTTTTTTTTTTTTTTTTTCAAAATTCACTTAAAGACAGCTGAGCCTAGATTTCTGATGTTAAGTTTCCATGTAAAAAATTGTTGTGGAGAGCCAAGGGTGTTCACAATTGCAAGTGTATGGGAAGCTTATTCCAAATGCAAAAATGGAAACGAATGAGACTCTGTCCTAGTGTTAATGTGTCGAGATGAGGCTCCTTACCATAGGGCTTTCTGAGAACCTGTTCAGAGCCACTGAGGAGGTGCCATGAGCAGGCTTTTAAATTTATATGGAAAAATTCAAACTAATTTTGTTGTAAAGAAAACCCTGTGAGTCTATTTTATAAGTACAAAACACATATCTATTTTTAATAACAGTGAAAATTAAGCATGTTATGTTTGTCTCTAGTATTTGAGAATAATTTCAAAACCGGTCCCATTATGTCCTAATATTGAATATTTTTAAAGTACTCCAAGCTCATTATTTGTGCATAGTTCATTTTAGTATTCACCATTTGTGGCTGAGCAATTAGATGTTTACCCATTAGGGTAATCTAATTTTATTCATATTAAAAATTGCTTTGCTCAGTCAGAGCTCAGCTAGTATGACTTTTTTAATTGGAAAATAATGGAGAATAAGTTATGACTGATGCTTAATGCCACTTTTTAATTACTGAATGAAATGTAAGGATATATAAATGTCATTCTAATTGAAAATCAATCACTGAAACCTTTTAAATGCCAAATAACATGGTCTTTGAACACCAATGAGCAAATTAATTTATTCAGAAATATTATACATATCCATTATTGTGGGGATGATTATAATACTAATCTGCACTTATTAACTGATATTACTCCTAGCTCTTTCCAAATCCTTTTTAAAATGTTGCAACTGTAACGCAAAAATGCTTATTTTATTGTAACTAACTATTTTTATTAATACTAGAGTGATGAAACCTTTACAATAATCCAAAAGTTTTAGACTATACTAAAAAAGAATTTAAAAAAACCAATTCAAATGGCAGTTTGAATTTTAGGCAAGCTTTATTAATGCTTTCAGTCTCTTCTAGAGCATTCTTGTGTGTAAAGGTTTAGGTCTTTTTTAATTAAAATAAACTATCCAGATACAAAACTTTTGTGTAAACACATGTCTAAGCATGAGGCAACACTGAGATTTATGATACATCAATGACAGTGAAGTAATGCTTCCTTGAAAGAAACAGAAAAAATCCAGATTTCATAGGGACAAGGGTATAATCCTAAAAATAGCTGGTACGGTGTGGCAAGGAAAGACTGGAGACATGATCTGATCTCTACTCATGCTGAAGGCAATGAGCTTTTTTCTATTAACTGTCTGTCAGTGGTGAACGTTACTGAGTTGCTCCATATTACAGCAAATCTTGTTCATGTCTTCTCAGAAGTTGTTAGTGAGCCTTAAAAATGCCTGGAAAGAGTTAACTGACTTTTTACTGTAAAGCTTATTCAACTTACAAAACTTTAACCAGAACTACTGGGTTTCATTAATAAAACAGACTTTTTTCCTTTCTAATCTGAAAGGTCACCATGGAATTGGTGTATAGATATAGCGGTGTCTAGCAAGTATCAGTGCTAACTATGACATGACAGTTATTAGGTCTTACTATTAAATTACATTAACTAACATTATCATAGGGCCGTGCTGACATATCACCAGACCCAAATTAAAAAGTGTTATAAATTAGAAAGATTCTCTATAAAGTTTAAATCAGATGGAGAGGTCAAGCAGACAGAATGCTTTTCTATAATTAGATTGCAATGACTAAACATTTAGGCATTGTTGCCTGCATATTTTCTGGAAGTGATATCAGAAGTCATTAATAGCTGAGGTCTAAGCAGTCTTCCAAAAGTTTAGAGTAGTCAGATTTGGTTTTCTTTGTTCTATGTTGTGTTTTTCAGGGGTTGGTTTTCAAGAATATATTTTGTAGAAGAGTGACTTGAAATGTAAAAGACCTGCAGTTAATGTCTAACTGACAGATGTGACACTGATTTACAGGCAGAAGTTTTTGACCATTTTCAAACACAGTAATATAAAGCAGTACCACTGCTGTCAGCTGAGTGTCTTCTCAGCCAAAAATACCTGCATAAAATATTATTTTAATACTATAATTTACAGTGATGGTTGTCCTCTCAAAAATCATACTTTTTTTTTCAGTCTAAAACATATATGTGCAGTTGGCAAGGGGATACCCTGTGTTTCACAGTCGACTTTGCTCTAGGATTTACCTGTTTTGACAGTAAAACAAAGGTAAGAGTAAAAGAAAAGGAAAACATATCTGTATTGTTTTACATTTATTGAAGTTATCATCTATTGCATTTTCTTTATGTTTATGTCCAGCATTTATTCCTCCAGTATACTGTACTATTTATTTATTTAGCCCTACTGAAATTTAGTCAGTTTGAGACTTGAAAGGGGTGATTATAGCTGTGTAGCATGTAAAGATACATTTTTGTGAAATATATAAAAAAAGTAACTTCCTTTTCAAGTAATAAAAGCAAAGGAAGGTTATATTTAGCAGAGAACTTGGTTTGTTACAATGAAGCAACTTCAAGATTTATAAAAGATTATAAGGAATGAAAAAATGAGATGTCACCTGATTCTATTTGTTTTGATGCTACAGATATAAAATAGGATTAATTATTCTTCCATCATAAGAAATTTAGGTCATGTCTAAAATAAACAGAATAAAGGCAAATGTTTTTCAAAGTCAGAATCAGAAAGATTACACACACTTATCTTGCAAAACAGTGGTTATATAGAAAGTGTCTACAAGGAATGGTTAATGATACATGCCAGTTTCCAAGCCCTGTCTATAATGCTACTATTTTCTATATAATTTAGTTGTACTTTAATGTATATTTTTCTGTGTGGATTTTAACATTTGTTTGGCAATAGAAATAAACATATATACAAAAAATGTTTCTGCATTGATAGAACTGTGAAGTAGAAGGTCTGTCTTCTCAAATATTTTTTAAAAATAAAAAAAATCAGAAATTTCAGTAGAAATTCTGAGAAAAGAGGGAACACATTGCCTTTTGAAATACTGATACATTATTTAGTTTTTGCATGTTGGCATTTTTTGGGCTTGGAGAAAAAATGCCCCAAAATTTCAAATCTATTGAAATCTTTGTGCAGAGAAATAATGACTAAAATTGCATGAAAATTTAGACTAATTAAGTTAAGTGTGCATCCCATGAAGCAGGAAAAAAATTTCAGAAAATGCTTTTATATACTCTTTTCCTCAGGTTATACTGCATTCTGGAATCTTCCTTCTTGAACTATTATACACATTTTGCACGTAACCACAGATTAACTGTAAGAAGTAATCTCTCTAGCCTATAGAAAGGGTTTCTTTTAAATGTGAAGAATGATTGCATATACTCCCACCTTTAAAATTGTAACCTTACTTTATTAATAGGACTTTATGTCACAGTATCTACCTTCAGTATTGATGAGGAGGAGGATTTGGATGAATCATTGTTGCTTAACTAAGAAGAAACACAATACCAACGTATAGACTGATGCCATTGGTAAACAGTAAAAATTCTGGAGAGCTCAAGTTCATTTATTCTTCATCTGTGTGAGAGATGTTTTCTGCATCCTCAAGCCTGAATGAGGCAGTAATGGGTGACTTCTGCAGTTCATCTTCCCATAATTGTCACCTGAAATTTACTGTGTTTTCCCATATGCATAGCTATTTCAGAATATTTCCTACCAGTGCGAGAAAGATTCTTAAAGTGGTCAAGCAATTAACAGTTCATTAGGGACATAGCAATTTTACTGAAGAATCTATTTTTTCATGGAGTTAATGAAAAAATTTAAGTCTTCTACTGATGCAAAGAATCCTCTTACATCCCAGCAAGTGTTCAAAGGGGATTATTAAAATAAAGGTCAGTCCTCTGTCTGCTCTATGACTCTAAATCTGGATCTCAAATTTTGGACATCCAGCTCATGTACTCATTGAAAAACATTCTTTTTTACATTTTGAAAAACAGTTTTAAAAGAGTCTTCTTATTACAAATTCTGAAATAAAGAGCACAAGAACTTTTCCTTTGGAGTGTGGGTGGTTTACCTGGCTTCCTCCTGAGCTGGGCAAATGAGAGGAAATACAACAAAAGGCTTGTGGGTCAAGATAAAGGCAGGGAGAGGTCACTCACCAGTGACCATCATGGGCAAAACAGACTAATTGGACAAATGAATTTATTGTCAATCAAATCAGAGTATGCTAATAAGAAATAAAAAACAGATCTTAAAACACCTTCCCCCTACCCCTCTCTGTTTTGCAATTTTCTTTATCTCCTCCTCTCCACCAGCACAGCCGGGTTGGGAGCAGGTGCTGTAGCCAGCTCACCACATGTTGTCTCTGCCCCTCTTCCCAACTAAGGAGGAAAGCTCCTCACAGTCTTCTCATGCTCCAGCATGGAGTCCTCCAGAATCCAGCATGAGTCCTTCCCATGAGCTGCAGCTCTTCATGAACTGCTTCAGCATGGGTCCTTCCCACTAGGTGCAATCCTTCAGGAACAGCACCTCCTTTCTCTTCTTCACTGACCATGGTAACTGTAGCGTTTTTTCTCTCTCCTATTCGCACTGGTCTCTCCAGCGCAATAAATGTCTCTTTTAAGAACTTTCCTAGAACAGTTTCTTTCCCTGCATATTTCATTCGAGGCTCTTGATGGGCTTAATTCATTCAGCTTTTATCTTTTTTTGGGCCCATCACTGAGATACTTCTGTAGCCTGCATCTGCTTTATATCTCATTATAGAGATTCTTTTTATCTTGTCAGCTTGGTTGGTTCATCTTCCTCATCCTGTGCCTCCAGCCACTCCAGTATAAAGGAATCCCAAAGTGTGCATTCTCTTCCATCTTCCAGTGCTCTCTATTTCTTGTCTTTCCCACTCGGTGTCAACTGTTGGTAGAGATGATGACTCCAGCAGTGCTTATTATTACTGTATTGTTCCTAAGTTCTTGATTCATCTCCACCTTAGCAGTTATATTACACAGCGAACATTCATCTATCCTAGATGAATAAGCCAAACTCATTAAGCTTTGAACACTTTTCAGGTGGTCTAATTAGGCCCTCTGGACCCAGTTAAAATCTGTTTGTGAATATAAAGTTTAAGCAGCATCACAGTGCTGTAGCATACTTCAGTTTTTCTTCATCTGTTATATCTCTCTAAGAAGTTGGTGACATTTATGTCTGCAGGGAACTAGGAGTTTTTAATTTATAGGACATTCCATTTTAAACTACGAGTAGGGTTCTGAAGACCACTAGTAGCACTGGTCTACTTAAAAGAATACCTTGAGAAGAGGCAGGTTGGAAAATGGAACACAGCAAACTCTTTTTCAATGTGTACTTTTAAGATAACCTCCCAAGTATTTCAATTGTGTTTATTCAGCAATGTCCAGGGACTGAAGCACATTTCAACATGTGCAGAGAATTTTTATTAAGATTATAGGCATTAAAGGAAACGTCAGCAGGAAGTCCGGGTGCAAGTTGTTACCTTGTGGGTTTTTTTTTTAATTACACATGTGATGAATAGAAAACACTCAGATAAATACAGAAAATTACCTTGATTTCAAAAATAATTTCCCAATTGTTTTTTTTACAAAATATCTCCAAAAATATTACAGCATATCTGTCAATCTAGAATTTTCCAACACTAGTAAGATGCCATACATAAACCTATGGGAGACCAAGAAGCTTAGAAGTCTTTTACAAACCATTATGTAATGTAGGATACGTGTTTATGGTTTCAGAGGCTATGTTCAATAATAATATTTTTGCATTGCTAACGCTTTTTTTAGAATTTCAGACCACTTTTCACACATCAGTAAGTTCAGCTTTGCAATATCTGTGTAATTCACACTTACCTATGTTATGCAAATGAACCAGCTGAAAGAGGAAAGATCAAGATATGGCATGGAATTGTGTTCATACTGAAACTGATACAAATATCCTCATGGATCTTTATGGAATTAAGCTTTTGACATCTTTATGCTGTGTAGGCAATTGAAACATATATATCACAGAGAATTTTAAAACTGTTTAATTAGTGAATTTTAATATTGCAACTTTTGCTTTCACAAAGGGTACAGAAATGTTAATTTTAATTGCACTGCAAAGAACCTTTTCTCATGCACTGCATTACTGCTGAAGTGCTTTATTTTATTACACAAACATTTATCATCATTCTGTAGTTCTAGGTAAAAACATGTAGCAGAGTCCTTAATCAAATTTCTTTTCCTTTAGAATGTGCTGTGGAGGTTTAAATTCTCTCAGCTCAAAGGCTCATCAGATGATGGGAAAACAAGAGTAAAGCTGCTTTTTCAAAATCTAGACACCAAACAAATTGAGACAAAGGTAAGCAACATCCTCTTTTTCAATTCAGTTAAACATGACATAAAATTACTGTCAAAGAATCAGAAATCCCATTCACTGGGACATACAGATGTTGAACACACCACAGCTTATCCTTTTTTGCCAGTTCTGTAGAAACTCCACAATACATGGAAGCAATGTAATACCCATAGATTTATTGCACTATTTCTACAAGCCTCTTATTGTTGTGTTGTGATAGTATTTTTCTCTTTCAAAACAATAATTTCTCTGAAGTTATTCTGTCAACCTATAGTAGATACAGTGTCTAAAATCTGCATTTAAAAAAGATAAAAATAAAATTTGATTTTATTGAATGAAAAATAAACAGTTTATTTGGTGCACTGGCTGGGAAACTCAAATTGGTAAATACATTCAGTTATGTGGTTTTAAAAAGAATTAGGAGAAATTTCGTGTGAAATGACACAGAAGAGGAAGATAAGAGTGTGGTTCAGCTGGGTTTTGGTTGACAAAAGCCAGTGAAACAACTGAAAAAGTATCTGAAGACCTGTGAAAGTTTTCAAATATTCATACCTGGATTTGTACAGGTTAAAGTCACTTCTAAAGTGATATTTTTCTATACTGACCACACACAAAAGATCTGTGTTGCCTATTCTTCTGATGTTCAAAAAATTTTAAGAAGTCCATAACCTTCCTTATTTATCATAAAGTTACAGTACATGCAATATATCTTTCTTTATACATCTGTATTAGTAAACGATTCAGAATTTCATCAGCAAGCTTGACCTGAGTTGCTTCTTGGCTCTACTGTAAAAGATATTATAATATCTGTTACAAAAGGTAAAATGTATAATAATTTGTCTACTAGCAGGACATTTCCACTTCATTTCTCACAGTAGTCCTTGGAGACAGAAAAGGACTAGTGTCTTCATTTTATATGTGATATCTGTTGCAGAGAGCTTACATAACTTGTTTCAGGTTAGACAGGAAGATTGTACTCATGCATAAACTACTTCGTGTATGTCTGTGCATTAAATCATTAGTCCCTGTGTGTGATTAGCCGAGGGCTGAAGTTCCATTGTTTGTAAAATTCTATTACTGTAATAATGTATCATTCCTCTTTCTGTTGTGGTAAACAATCTGATCTTTTAAATTTTATTTAAATGTTACTTTCTGTGAAAATTAGATTGTTTTTAATTGGTTTTACCTGATTTTACTCCTTAGATAGAAAAATTGTAAATTTTAGCATTTTTATGAAAATTTGATTATCTCTAAAATTATTATAAGTGAGTCCTTATGATAATTTTGCAGTAAATTTTCTTCAGGAGACAGATTTGTTAAAACATTAAAAATATTCTTTTGCATGGCTCTAATGAAAACATCTTGTAATTGGCAAAATTCACAAGAATATTTGTGAGGTACCTTGAAAGTATCAGATGGAAGTTGATATGGGATTGGTTCATACAGAATTCTTAATATCTATGTATCCAAAAGTACATATGAGTTGTAAATGTTGGAAGATTCCAGGAAAAGCTTATTAAAGGCCAGAGGAAAAGCTGATACTAAGTACCTGAGGATTTATCAGCATTTCAGTGATTACACCTTTTACAATTGCCTCTGCAAAGTGGAATTTACCTACTAGGATTTTACATTAAATGGGACTGGGACACAGCTGTGCAACCTCTCAACTTCCAATAACTGGTATATATAATCAGTTGTATGCCCACCATCTAAATGGTATGATTTCTTAGACTTGAGAGTTACAGGCTGGCTGGAAAATGCCCAGCCCATAGTTCAGTCTAGTATTTGCCTCTGCTTATTGCACTGAAAGAAATTTCATAGGGCCAGATGGTGCAATACAGTGAAATGCAGCCAATAATGAGAAACAAGAATGTTATCAAAAAATAGAAATTTCATTTTTCCTGTGTAAATGAGCCACTATGCACGAAAGAGAGTTTGATGCAAATGACTAATGTTCCCTTGGTGGAAAACAGAGAATCAAGGTTGCAAAAGAAATTTCCAGACTATGTCTAATTTTATATTATTATGAATTCTTGGGGGGGTAGGGGTGGGTAAAAAAAAATCACAGTTGGGAATTCTATTTTTGTTTCTTGTTTACTAGCTAGATGTGATGTTTCTTCTCCTATTTTGACTTCTAAATTTTAAGCCAAGGACATCTTCCTTTGCATTTTAATTTTAGGTGAACAATACATTCTTCCATTTAAAAAGCTCTCTGTTGAAAGGAGATAATAAAGAAAAGATTCCTGTTTCTCCTTCAGGTTCTTCATATTCCCTACAACTTCCTATAGTTTCCCACTAAAGTACTTCCCTGAACCTATCCTTAGTATTGAGAAATTACAAGTAATAATAGTAGGTATTTGTTGACCAAATTTTCCAGGTTGCTCTAAAAAAAGAAAAAAAATAAGATTAATACTTTCAAGTTTGTATTGATGCTTTATTCCCCTTTGCTAAACAGTAGGTATATATCTGGAAGATAAGACTATTTTCCCAAGCATATTTTAATTGAGCATTTCCTTTTTCTTTTCATCTTACTTAACCTCAAATATTTATTGAAGAAAGGTAAGAAACCATTCCCTTTTCATATTAGTCTCAAATATTTATTGAAGAAAGAAACCATTGTGGTCAATAGAGTATTGTGAGCCATATTGAAGTAGATGTTGCTGGTCTCACAAATTCTTATCTATTACAAGAAGATAATTTAAGAGCCCTGAATATTCTTCTCATCCATGATATGGCAGCTAAGCCATGCTATACTTGTTGAGATATTGAACCAAATTTAGAATTTTGATTTCCATTTTGACTTGGATGTTATCTGGAGCTAAAACCTGGGTATCTTTATTTGGGCTTTTAACCTGATAAAAAACCCAACCCAAACCAACTAACGAACAAACAAAAACAGAAAACAAAAACAACAACAAAACCAAAAACAAACAAGCAAACAGACAAAAAACCCACAATAACTAAAAGAAAATCAGTCTGATTGGAAAACATATGTTGAATAATACAATGGTAATAGTTCTGCTCTGGTCAACAAATACACTGAGGCTTACCAATATCTTCAAAGTCATGAAATGCACAGGGCACAATAACTCTGTCAGCATCTCCATTATTTTTGCCTTTTATGTGCTACAGGCTCATGTCTTGTTCTAATAGTGACTCAACAGCTCTCAGAAGTTCTCTGTAAAATTGCATGCATGGTAATAACGCAACACGCCTGTCAAGGTGTTTATGATATGTAATAAATCCAACTCTCCTAGTGGGTAGATGAAATAAGAGCATATATTTTTCTTCCTTGGTTCTGTACATACAGTGAAGGAGGTCAGTGCAGTGTGCTCATTTTTTATAATTTCAGTACCAGCAGGAGGTTTTGCAGTCTTGTCCTCCCACTGCTTTAATCCAACCTTTTGTGTTCTTCTCACAGTGTCTTCCTTCTAGTGCTTTTGTTGTACTTAATCTGCTTATTATGGTACATACAGTAAACTGAAATAGCTTCAGATATTGAAATATTAGACATGCACAGATTCTCCTTAAAAACTGACAATCTCAATTAAAGAAAAAAAGCAAACTCATATAATGAAATCAAGTATAAGGATGCTTGTCGAGATGAAAAACGAGGGATGGGGCCACCGTGCTATTTAAGATGATTTATTGCTTAAGTAAGCCAGATAAGATATCAGTCTCAAAGGCATGAGATTTGGAGAGAAGCAACAAGTCAGCCATAGCTTAAAGGTAGTCACAGGTTTCTTCTTCACACAGCAATATATAACATTTTGGTCCAATAGACAACACAAAATTTGTTTCTGCTTAATAACCTATCACATTTGCCTAATTTTGCCTAATTTTTGTCTTTCAGCCAATAAACTGATAGGTCACATACCCATACACACCTTTATTATAGCTTCTAGATCCTTAGCCTACCCTATAAGTCACATTATTACAGCTTAAACTTCTTACTATTTTATCTAATATAATTTCTTACTTACTCAAGGCGTATTCTTACTTACAATTATAGGAGCATGAGTTGTTTTTTTTTTTTAATTAATGTTTGTGTACCTTTATCATTACATTAACCCAAGCTCTTTCCAAGGCTGCTGATTCAACCCTTCAGCTTCTGTGGAAGTTTCTATTTTTCCATTTCCCACAAGTGCTGTTAGATGATATAGCACAAATAAAATTATCAGTTACTCATCTGCCTGACTGAGCACAGAGAGAAATGCTACTTTAAAAAAAGTAATCTATCAGAGCAATGTATTTGTTTGAAAGAAGTGTCATGGTGTTGTTTTCTAGGAAGAATTCATACTACATTCCAAAGCTAAAAAGGCTAAATTTCCACCTATAAAACTGTATTCAAGATAGCAAAGAGACATATTGTGTCCGAGTCTTCAGACTATGTAACATCTACATTTTCACAAGTCAGAAAGGCATCCTTATCTTTTACTAAATCCAAATTCTCAAACTAACCACCAGTCAAGGTCTTCCCCTTCCCCTATTGTAATCTACATGCAAGCAAATCCCCACCCTAGTTTATCCTTAGATTTGTGTGACTGTTCCTCATTATCTACAGCTAACTAGCTGGCTGCAGGATTGCAAAGAGAGTCAGCACAGGCATCAAACATCCCTCAGACACAGAGCTCCACAGTCTTACCCCATTAGTGGACTTCTGGATCATATACTACTGTGACAAGCTGAATTTCTGGAAGTCCTGGTGCATGAGGCCTCATATGAGCCCCACCTTTCTGATGCCACCATAGGAGGCCACATCTAACTGAGGCCTGCAAGACAACATCTCCAGAGCTCTGCTCCTGTTTTATGATCGCAGATGATTGCTCTCACTGCACAAACCTAACATTAAATAGTGAAGATGTGAGAGACAAGAGAGGATCAGCTAGTAAACTGCATGAGGAGTGCTTATATGCAACACATTTTGCTTTCCAACTCTGTAATAACTTTCAGAATTGACACCATGCTTGAAAATAATCCAAAAAGGGAAGACTTGCAGTATTACCTGTAGAAAATAGTGTTGTTGTTACATAAAATACAGGTTTAGTGTTACTGCTAGTCTTCCACCTCTATGTAGATTGTATCTTACAGAAACAAGAGCATGTTAGTATTCAAAAGGTTATTCACAACAGATTAGATGACTTCTCTCAGATACTGAGGAGGGGCTACTGGAGTTTGATGCTCTGAACTGCGATGGAAACAGAGGACTCTGCATCTGGGACATTGGGAAAGACTAACTCACAGTGATAAGATGTTCCTGTCTTTGCCCTTTTCTAAACCCAGAGCTCTCCAAATAATATTGTTAGAACAGACTGAAATCCTGTCTGCAGTACATGTTAGGTTACCTCTGTTTGCTTGTATCCATAAACATTTATAGATTGGAAGTGCATAAAGCTGGAGTTGAGAAATGGGAATTCTATGAAAGGCTCCCTTCTCTCTGTTTGCCTGTGTTTGGTCATTGTGTCAAATGTCAGAACCTAAGGTGAAATTGCTGGGTGATTTCAGTTGATTTTGGAGCAAATCTAAGATTAATGGAAATGGTCATATTTTTTAATTTCTTGGTTTTGAAGATGGAATTTCAGTAGATGTAAAACATTTGATTGAGCCAAAACTTACGTATTGAGGCCTGTATTATTTCATATTTCATTAATAATCATGACTATGTACCAAATTTTAGTTTTATACAACTTAGATAAAGAGATTTAAATAGTGGCATTGCACGGATTTTTCCTGGAAGTATTTATATTAATTTGTATTAATATTTAAAGTCAACATCTGCTATCAATAATATGTATTTTAAGAAACTTCTATATTTTCTCATCAAATGTCAGTTAAATGTCATTTAAAATGGAAACAACAGGAGCATTTTGCTCCCAAAATTTATGATAAAGATGACATGTGGTTAAATACACTCACACTTTATTTTGCTCCGCTATGGCTTCTCTATCAGTTTCAGTCCCTTCAGGTGTGTTACCTGCTCTGCTATGGAGCACCTCTTGCTTCACTGGCCTTGCTTACCTTTTTGGGGAACTTTCTGCCCTTTCTTACATATATTTTCCCTGATGTACCGCTGCCTCACTGTGGGGCTCAGCTGTGCCTGGTGGTGCATTAGTTGAACCTGTCTAGAACCTTCTGTATGTGACACAGACTTTCCTTGAAGAGGCTGTGCCTGCAGATCCCTCTACTCCCAAAAATTTTCCAGTTGTGCCCCAAATAGGCTCACAAAATCATGCCCCAAAAATACTAATGAATAATTCATTAGTAGTAAGGGCCACTTGTGCCTAGTAAATAGGGTTTATATCCTATATAAATAATATAAATATAACATAACATAACAATATCCTGGCCTTGGATAAAAAATTATGTGATGGTTAGCTATTCTGGAGCAGTAAGCTTGAATTCCAAATATTCTGTTTGGGCCAGTTTTGTTTAGAACACACTACAGAGTTCTGTTACAGAAAAAGCAGAAGTCTAGTGCTTTATTTTTTTGCTTAAAAACAAGCATAGGGAGTGTGCCTCAACAAACAACTAGTTAGCCATCAGACTGGTAAAAATAGTCTTCTACTCAAACCAAAAACTGTCTCGGGTGTCCCCACAATATATTTACCAGCTGCAGACTTCACACATAGTAGTGTAACTTAAATTGAACACGTTTTTTACATTATATTTGTTTTTATTATATTTACATGTCACTGTATCAGAATATCTATTACTGTCTGGGTTCATAGGGAAAAAGAAGGTTAACTTGTGCACACAAGATTAAATATGTTGTAAAAAGCAAACAAATCTGAGAACTGTTTGGGAATAATTCTGCCTTTCCTTGTGAATCAATGTGTATGAATTTCATACCCAGCCATGTTTGTTTCTCAGGTGTGGTGTGTGGTGTGACTTCACCTTATCTTTCACCCTGCCTCTGGCTTCACATCTCTCCTTCAGAGGCTGACAAAAGATGTGATCTCCTCCCCCTACCTACTTGATACCACATCATCCTCAAACAGCCTTAATTTGTCAAATACTTTAATAATGTTCAACAATGCCAAGTACCAAGTCCTGCCCTTGTAAACCATGCAGCATGTTTTGGATGTCACAGCAGCTCCAGGAAGTGCTACAGGCTGGGTCAGAGGGGCTGGAAAGCTGCCTGGAGAGGGAAACGATCTGAGGATGCTGGTTAACCACAGCTGAAGAGCCAGTGTGCCCAGGTGGCCAAGAAGGCAAATGGCATCCTGGCCTGAGTCAGCGATAGTGTGGCCAGCAGGAGCAGGGCAGGGATTGTCCCCCTGTACTCAGCACTCATGAGGCCACACCTTGAGTGCTGTGTCCAGTTCTGGGCCACTCACTTCAAGAAAGGCAACAGAGCTGGTTAAGGATCACACAGGCATGTCATTTTGAGGAGTGGCTGAAGGAGCTGAGAATTTTTAGCTTGGAGAAAAGGGGTCTCAGGGAAGGTCTTGCCACTCTCTACAATTGCCTGAAACAAGTTACAAGTGAAAGGACAAAAGGAAATGGCCTTAGCTTGTGCCAGGGGAAGTTTAGAATGGGTATTAAGAAAAATTTATTCACCAAAAGGGTTGTCAAGCACTGGAATAGACTACGTAGGGAATGTTGAATCACACCATCCCAGGAGATAAGTCAAGTGTAGATATGGCATGGTTTACTGGTAGACTTGGCAGTGCTGGGTTAATTGTTGGACTCAACGATCTTCAAGATCTTTTCCAACCTGAATTATTCTATGTTACAATATTTGAATGTTCTTTCAAGTTGACTGATTTCATTGTCCAAGCTGAGTACAATGTAAACAATAGAGTAGCAAAGAGTGAAAACTAAATTGACACGTGGCACTGCCTGTTAACAAGGTATGGATATACAGCTTTTATTCTTAACTATTTTAATTTTGCAGTTTCCTATAAAAACTCAATTCTTCTGTAAAGGCCATTATTTTTTTCTAAGTAGCCTGGTCTGTGTTCATGTAAAATGTTCATAAACCTGAAATGAATTCAAATTTTCTCTTTTTTTTTCTCTTACTTTCAGGAACTTGAATTTCAGGATCTGACGGCAGTTTTACACTGTATTCACTCCTTTATAGCAGCAAAAGTGGCATCTGTGGATCCAGTATTCATAGACAGTCAGAGTATTGCAAGAAAATATATGTACAGTAACTGATACTAGGATTATATGTTGTGACTATGGAAAATAAATTATTTTCTTAACAAAAGTAGTTATTTCATTCACAATATTGCAACTTTGTGATTTTATAAGAAGCTTATAATTGTGTTATCTGTAATGTTAAGAGTTTTCACAATCTGATAATTATTTTGAATCTATGAGTTAAAAAATACTAAGTCAAACAGTTTGTTATGTTCAGTATTAATCTAAAATTCTAAGTGAATATTCATTCAGTAATATTTGTAGAATCATTTTGATTTCTGCTCTCATGATGATACATTCTCCCCTTTATTAGATAGTAATGTGGAGTAACATTTCAAAAGTGTATGTCCAAAATTTGGCCTCTAAATCTCTTTTGAAAAATACTGGGCATACAGACAATCACGACAGTCTTCACTGTAGAAAAGAAGTAATTATGGAAGACAACTGCTGTACAAATTGAACTTCCATCTTCCTTTTATGTGTTTGAAAAATTGTAGTTCCATGGTTGGGTTCTGTCAAGGCCTGAGATTTTAGCTCTTGCAAAACACTGAATACTAAATAATTTCAGATCCAGGAACAAAGTTAAGCACACACTTGGCTCTGAGAATACTCAGTAGCCCCAGTGTATGTGCAAGGTAATGTTAAGTATGTATTTAAGTATCATGGTAGATCAACTGTGAAGAGCTTTAGACTCAACTAAGAAGCCTGACTATAGACACTTAGTTTTAAGAAACTTGCCATAGGGTTTTCTTATCTTTTAATAAAACTTCCATGATCCATTTGTTTATTCATTCACAGATTGACTTGACACCTATCCTGTATGCTTGGGAACAGCTTTTATGTGGAGTAAAATGCTTCCAAGATAAGATGAACATAAAATACAAATATTTTTCTGAGACATCTGTGTTTCTTTTTCCTGTAGCTTTAACCTTTACTTATAGTCAAGCAAAGTGGATTTTATCATTGCTGAGGAAACAACATTGTTTTACTTTTGACATATACTTAACCTTCCTTCTGAAATCATAATCTTAAATGCATAGATAATTCTTCCTGCTATTGAAAAAATTATTAAAAAATAAGTCATTTTATTCTTAGGACATATTCCCTGTAAGTCATACCAGATATTGCGGGTTTTTGTAATAGAAGTTTTAGTTTTTCTCACTTGTATTTTTGAGGCAGCATCAAGAAAATAAAACAATCAAAATCAAACAAGCAGAATATCTTAAGTATGGATAAGGAGTGAATTCATCAAAGTCCTCCCTAAATTTTAGGAGTCTTGTCAGATGTCCTGCTAAAGTTGTGGCCTAAAGTTACTGTATCCAAATGAAAAGAGGTTGGCGCCTTTGAAAGGTCTCAAGAGAGGAGTGTTTTTTACATAAACTTAGTGCTTAAGTTTAGTCAGCTAAATTCTCTCCTTCAGGTCTTCAGCTGTCTTGGCAGACTGAGGGGCACTTGCTTCCAACAGATGCTTCTCTGTCCACCTAAAGCTTAGGCACAAAGAAAGTGTCTAATGCAGGTGATTTATTCCCACCAGGAGGATTACTTGTTTCTAAGTGTTATCCATCGAGAAATTAATTTGAGCAGTGTGGACTCTTTTTCTAATTCCAGTGTTGTTTAAGGTTCCAGTATTGTTTGCAATGAGGCATAGTACGAGTGCTAGCTTCTGGTAAAACAGTATTTAGCAAATGCGATAAATATTTTTTATTATTTTTAATAAATCCTTAGAGCCATTATTGCATTGTTAACATACATTTTTATAATGCAATTTTATAATAATTTTATTTCAAGAAAAAAATTTAAAACCTTTTCTTTTTTGAATGAGCATTTATTGAAAATGTTTCATTTAATTCTCAGCCTTTTTTATTTTCAGCTCATTGTATTTACCAAGGTTTTAACATTTACAAATCACCGCATTAACATTACAATATCTTTCTTACAACCAATTCTCAATTCAGTTTATTAGCATGAATAATTAAAAACGTCACAGTTTCTGCAGGATGAAGAATTAATTCAGTTTTGATTTTCTAATATTTTCTTAAAAAGTTCAGTACTAACATGTTAGTTACAGTAGAAAACTCTACCAGCTAGTGCTGAACTGGTACTACAGTCAGACATCTTGACTTAATGTTTTAAGTACCGTTTGATTACAAACTAACATATCTCGCCAAATACTGTAAAAAAACCTTAAAACAAATTAGGCCAAATTTATTAAGTAATCTTTCATTTCTACCAAAAAATAAAGTTTTGCAATTCAAAAAGAGCATTTTTCCAAAACTGATTTTTTTTCCAGAGCAGCTGGATATTTCACTTTTTCATTAGCACTTTCAAATCTCTTATATGAAGTCGCGTATGCTGATTTTAATTAATTTTGTTATTTGCTTAATGGAATTTCTAAATTATTTTAGTCTTTTGATAAGCTGCTTTTTTTGCAAGACAGTAGATTTATTCTGTATGTCCAAATCAATCTCAAGGAATATTAGAGAAAAAATTTTATTAATTCACCCTCTGAAATTTACCATTGTATTTTAAAAATAATTCTCCAAATATATTTTTTAATGAGGAACTTGAAGATTCCTATTAGCTCACTTGCTTTTTCCTTTCACATTCTGCAACAGTCTCAAGGCAGGGACTAAAGGCCAGTTTTTTGAGGAAGTTGCCAGAGCCTGGAATAAAACTAATGGATTGCCAGTTACTCAGCTGTTATATAGGCTGTGTAGGACTTCCACAGCACCTTGCATTTCTTAGTCATATAACATGTATTTGAAGATATTGCACTCCCAGTTTGTTTGGTTGCTTATGTTTCTTTGTCAGATTTTTAATCATCAGTAAAGCATATTCGTTAGTCATTGCCCTCAGAATGTGGATCATACATCATGCATGTGTTTTATTCTGTCAAAGTTTTGATTATTTGCACCACATTTCAGCTCACTAAACACCTCAAAATAGAAAAATACTAGGATTCACAAATAGATCTGCTGGTAGATACCTTCCCAAGTCAACCCTCAGGAATCGCAGGCTGATTCAGAGGACACCTGCTTTAGGCTTTTCAAATGTCAAATATTTAATTTCTAATGAGATCATAAAACAAATTTTATTATTCTTTGTTAATACTTGTGATATATTAAGCTTTAGTCTTGCTACCTCATTATGTATTTGTTCATAGTTCTTTATTTTTTCCCTAGGGAGGCAAGTGTCCCAGAATTGAATAAGGAGTAGGAAAAGACAAGCATTTGCTAAAGCACTACCATAAACAGCAGGCTAGGGAAGGAAGCATGAAAACATAGAGTTATAAAAGTGGACCCCATCACAAAATCAAGATAGCCACTTGTGATTAGAAATCAGTAAAAAGAGGACAGTCTCTGTGTGTCCAAATTATCTTTATGCCTTTATTTAAACTCAATACTTGGTTAAAAGGCTAAAAATAATCCCATCTACAAACATGATTTTGAGCAAATGGGTAGTACTGTTAATTGAAATTAGTACAAGTCTCATCAGTGACTTATAAATTAAGGAGTGGTACAGCCTGGACTTAGGCACTGGACTTGAATCATACCGATGATTTGTTAATATAATTTCAGACAGTTTTTGCTATAACATGAGTAAAATCTGCAGAAAAAAATTTTATTCACAATCAAACTGAAGTCATCTGAGCTCTGTTCTCAGTTCATGGTTTGGTTGTGCTACCCTGTTGAAAACACCAGAGCATTTAATAGAGGGAACATGGCTAGGCTATGCCAGATGGCCCCCGGGGAAAAAACAAGCCCTGACAATTATAGTTATAAATTTATATGTTACCAGAGCATTTCAGTGACTTAATCTGACTTAAAATATTTTGTTTTATTTTTGCCTGTAATCATAAAGCCTGGGAGGCTGAAGCTGTGCTGATCCAAAGCTCAAGTTGTGGAAATCTGACTGAATTCTTCTAAGGCTAGGATCTTAGAAAAAATATTTCAAAATTATTCTCAGTCTTGAGCCAGTCGGCCTGAAGCTTAAAAAATAATTCTCTGGGGGAGGAACACTAAGCTCTAGAACCATTTTGCAACCATTAATCCAAACTCCTGTGTTCTGTCTGAACTACATTAATTCATAAGTAACTTCAGACAAGGCATGCCCTTTCCACAAAACCTTTAATGTGTAGTCTGATCTTTGTAGTGGCCTAAGCAGAATTTAAAACTGGCTGAATTTCTGTTTAAGTACATCTCCATAAATGGTTCTATCAAAATACTGTCAGTATTTTATAACACTTTTTTGCCCACCTGAGTATCTCCTCTCACAGTGCTCAAAGTGAGGTGTGTATAATGGTAATGCAATTTTTCTGCTTTTTGTTTATTCTGTGGTTGATTTTCTTTTTAATATAGTTTGCCTGTGTCCTCCAGTAAGCTTTTTCAGAGCAAAGAAGGTCAGTGTCAGGAATGAAGTATTTTTCTCCATGCTCTTATGAGTGGCAAAGTGGGGATTTCTGTCCATCTTTCCTGTGCATGAGCAATGGGACAAGGCACTTCAAAAATGGAAGCAGGGGAGGAATGGACAGACAGACCATGAAATCTTAAAAAACGCCTTCACTTAGGTATGCAAGCTAAAAATACCTCTTGGAACTCATTTGATTCATTTTTGGAACTTTATCAGGAAATTAATATTTTAGTGTAGTTCTCTTACTTTGAGTTTCTATCCACTCAGTTATGGATGCTGAAGAGTTAAAGACTGCAAAGAAATATGTAAAATGTATCATGTAATCATGTTGGGGTTTTTTTAACCTATGCTTCAAAAATGTTTAGATACTTTTGTGTTGAAGTATGTAAAGAAGCAATTATCTTTTGTGAAGTAAAGATCTTGTAACTTTATTAAGTGCAAAACACATTTGTGTAGCATGCAAGATAAAATCAAATATGCATTCTAATATGGCTCAGCCACAAAAAATTCTTAAGTACAGTATTTTTAGGAAATTTGAAGTTATCAAGCTCCATGGACATGAGCCAAAATCTACTGCTGTTTTAAGTCCCGATAAATTATGCAGG